TGCAAAATTCAATCTTTTTTATGTGTCAAATACGAAAAGAAAAAGACATAAAAAAGGAAAATCAAACCAATTCATAGGTGATATAACTAATGTTCAGTCCTTATGTGTGTGTGTGTGTGTGTGTGTACTCTGGGCTGTAATTTTAAGTCTCTAAGGTGAGCAATGGTTCCTCTGACACATACTGTAATTGTTCCACCTGTGTTCCACCTGTTTTATTTCTCTTACCCAGGTTAAAAGCAATGCTTTTAACATTCTAGACATGCAATTCCTCCCACTAGTTGTCTGTAATGTCAATTATATTAAGTGTCTTCCCTAAAATAAGAAATTTCCAATTCTTTTTGCTTCTTGCTGCAATTTCTATCAATTGGAAAGCTATTTCTTTGCACTTTTTTCTGTCACTGCAGGTCAATTTGTTTGTGATTTGCAGAGTTAATGCCTGTGTTACATTTGTGTCATTTACATACTCCTATTTTTAAAGCACCACTTTCCTTAGTGCTCCACTTCCCTCCATTCCCAATAATTACTGCTGCAACACAGGGAATACTGGTCACCCAGTCTTTAAAAAAATCTTTCTGTTTAATACTCTGAGAAAACCCATTTCACTCTATTAATGTGACTAATGATGTGTTTCCATTATTTCTATCATATTTCTATTATAGCCTGTCACCCTCTTGGGGACAGAAAACATGGAGACAAGCTTTTATTTCTCCCATCTGTCTAGTTAGGTTTGGTATCATCTTGGTCCCAGAGTGGACCATCCCTAGCAGTGTTTTTCTGTATGTCTTCATTGTCCTGTCTGGTTCCTGGAGCTCAAGTAAAAGACTCAGCATCTGTGCTTTTCTCCTGCAAAGAGACTGCATACACTATGCTACTCTTGAGCCACTGAGAGGAAAAGATGCCCATTTGGTAATGTCCTGAGCTGTTAACTGAGTTTTACTACTTCACAGACAAGTTTCTTGGTAGTTGTCTTACCAACAACCTGGTAACCATATGATTTCTCCAGCCACATTGAAAACTGTTTCTACTTCTCATCTTTTCTAGAAGTCTACAGTCTGGGCTGTACATGACTATGACACCCTACTGGGTCAGGTCAGAGATAGTGTGATTTTAATCCAGTCTTGTGGAAATTTCTGAATATTACCAAGAACTTAAAGCGACTTTATTCTGACATTTAAATCAAATTTTTTTGAAAGGGTTATTTGATCTGGACCAACACTCCTATCTGCCTAGCTTTATAGAGAGAAGGATTCTTTAAGACCAATAAATGTCTTAGCTGCAGGTCTCTTGGTTGTATGCTTGAGAACAAGGTCACGTTTCTTTTCCTACAGCTTGAGAAACATAAGGTACCAGTGGGGTTCCTCACATTAAACTGCAGAGAACATCTTCGTTATTTATGCATAAGCAAACACAGAGATGCTAACAGAGTTAAAAATCAAATCATAAGATGCTATTGTGATATTTTGTTCTTAATATTTTGTTCTTGACAGGGGATAAACCACTGCAATCAAAGGTATGAGAAATGTTGTGAGTTCCTATATTTGGGCAATAACTGCTAAATAACCTTCAGAGAAAATAATTCCCCTTCAGATGAAGTGACTTCAATAATTGCTTTTAAGACCCATGCAGGGTAATTTTGATTTTAGTTAATCTGATGACACCTTTGTTGGACTCCGAGCTGCATCTGAATTTATGAGATAAGGTGGGAACCATGATCATTTTGTAAGCAAATGTTGATGTTGTAGCTCTATTTGCGAGGTTTCTTGAGCAGCAGAGAAGTGAAAGGGAAAGAATAGAACATAAATGAGTACAAAACAGGAAGAGTCCAAAACTATCCTGTGAAGTTACATTTCAAATGTGCAACTCTGCCACGTATTTTGAGTGATAACCTGTGTCCCCTCTCACAAAGGGGAAGGGAGCATGTACACCTGATACTGTAACTACTCTAAACATTGTCTTCTTGAGCTACACTGCTGCTCTGCCAGCTTCAAAGTTCCCAAAAGTTTCTGGGGAAAGTGGAGGAAAGATGAGAGGAGAGGGACAAGGAGAAGTAGGAGGAGAGGAGAGGAGGTGATATGCGGATAGAAAAGCTCCGTAACTTGCAGAATAGTTATAATAGTTAAATGAATTTATTCAGCACTGAAAAGCATCTGAAAAACATGCACACTTTTGAGCTTTGGCTTTATCTTCTTATCCTTTACAAACTAGGGTTGCAAAATACACCTAATACATCTTCATTTCATAACCCTGCCTCTCCTCGCTTCATATTACAATTAGCTCCATGCCCCTTTGCGGCTGCACACTGGCCATTTTTGGTCAGCTCAGTGGTCATCTGGGGGTCTTTGGGATGAGGTCAGCAATTTTCTCCTTGGCTGAACTTTCACCTTTTCTTCTTATGCATGCTACTTTTAGTCCTTTGACCACCTTTTGGACTTTGATACCATTCTTTCCGGCTTAGGGGTCCAAAGAATCTCCTTATCCTGTGGTGCCTTTGTCTTTGCACCTTGTTAGTATATTCTAGGTCTTTATCTTGCAGTCTCACTCCTTTCTTGCTCTTGTCAGCTCCCCCTCTCTTCTGGTCAGGCATTTATTTATGCTTAATTCCTAATTCTTAATTTCTCTGTTTCAGAGGGGGGAAAGACACTGGAACTCTCTAAGAGCTTGACCCTTATCCCAAACTGCTGCTGTGAAGATTTCCTCAGGTGCTTGCTTAGGAACAGATCACAAAGCAGCCTTTACCCAGCCTGGGGTCCCTCCTGGACCTCAAAACTCCTGGAGCTCAAAGAAGTGGGTCACATCCCTGTGCCTCAGGGCAGGTGGAGCTTTCCCACCTGGCAAGGCCTCAATACTGGAAAAGAGACAAGTGTGCCAGTGGGACATGGTGGAGCCGTGGCCCAGAGGAGCTCTGATAGCGCAGGGACCACGCAGGGACCGTGACACCCCCGGGGTGGGGAGCAGCGCAGGCCGCCGCGGCCGGAGAGAGCACAGGGTCCTGGCACTGAGCTCGGATGCTGGTCAAGCACCACCCAAGGAGCTCAGGCTTGGTTTCCACTCGTCAAAACTCCACGAGTCCAAACTCGTTCATTTCCCAGAAGTCACTTCCCCTGTGCAAAGCAGAAAGGACAGGTGATCCAGAGTGAGCACCTGCAAACGTGAGCGGGACTCCAGGTCCCGGGGCAGGGAGGGACAGAGCTGGGCACTGCCCAAAAGAGCGAAATGTGCCGGAGCTGGTGGCTGCAGAAACACCAGCTGTGTGAGGTACAGCCACACAGCCGGTCTGCTCGGGCTGGTGGCAGAGCTGAGGGGAAGAGGAGAAAGGCCAAGAAGTATTAAATGGGAGTCTGAGAAGGAGACTGGCTGGTGGAACCATACTGTACCATCCCCTAGACAGGCACACCCGCTGTCCACATCTCAAGAAGCAATGGATCTTCTACCCTGTCAGCACCAAGATGAAGGAGGGGAACTCAGAGAAATTTATTGGTTCTAAACTTTTGGAAGATACAGTCACCAGGAACAATCTGTTCAGTTCACAGTATTTCATAATAAACCAGCTTTTAACGTGGGATATGATTTGATAACCTATGTTTTTCCTTTGTGCCCAGAAAATTAAAGGTAATTTATCAAATAAAACTAGTCTTAAATTCTTCTACATGTAATTTGTCTGATTTCCCATTTCCATTTAAATGTTGCTTTGATGTAACAAAAATATGAAGTTTCTTTGAGACAGGGCACACAGTGTTTATGTTTGTGTAGGCAGCTATTGAACTAGATTAGCATAGTTAAGTGGACTTACTTAATCCTGTGAAGACATTGTATGAATCGTTCCTTTCACTAGAATTATAAAATCTAGTGAAGGAACTAGAGAAGTGAAAGACCTATAGCAGATGAAAATTCACATATAATTATAGCTTCACAACAGAAATCAAGTTTTCATTAGCAAAACAAAAAGAGAACAAGAATAAAATGCATAACAACACGAGTGAATAGTTCTTTTGTGGTGTTGTTATGGTATTTTACATCAATTCATCCTGAACATACCATGCAGATCAGGCTTTTGACTTGGTCTGGTGTACTTTGAGCATTATGGAATGCTGTATACAATAACACTGGCATGGTGGGGTGTGTCTTTGCCTTTGCTAAGTAGCAGTGAAACGCACTCCTAAGTAGCCAGAACTCCATAGGAGAAACAAACATTGGAGGATTGCGGGAAGAAAGGTGCTAAGGGAGCTTGAGCACATGCCTACTTTCACCGGGACGTCCCACATCAGGGATCTGCTGTTCCCAGCCGGCACAGCAAGAGCAGCACCTGTAGCCATGCAGCAATGGGAATCGTCCCATTGCACAGCCCCCGAGCAGAGCTGGATTACCGGCTGTGCTGGAAACCACTGCAGGTCGGAGCCCACAATGGTACCAAATTGCTTGGAACAAGCAGTTCTAAAGCTGAGAAACTTAAAAACCTGCATCTCTGATTAAACCAGAGATTCTGACAGAGATTAAGCCAAAGCCAGCTCTGACAAAGCATGAATGTAAAAGTAGCTGTAACCCTGAGCGTGGCCAGAGTCCATGCAGCCCCCAGGCAATGATGCAGGGGATGAGCCAGCAGCGCTCCTCTTGTCTTCCCTGGAGTTTTAACACTGCAGGGCTGACTTGGGCCAGCGAGCAGCACCGGGAATGCTGTAACACATACAGCTTGTAATGTTTCTAACAGAGGGTGTACTCTGACTGCCCATGTTCCATCTGGGGAGTTGGATGTAAGTGGCTTGGCTCTGGGGTCTTTTGCATTAAAGCTGTGTCTCACTCCAGGGAAAATTCTTGCTTCCAGAAGTGGGGCTTTCTGGCCTTTTCTGACATTAAAGCGCTGCTTCCATTGCAGTGGGATTAGTCTGATTCTGATTAGGTGCCTGTAGTAAAATCAGCAGTCAAGAAAACAGAACACAATGTAGGGGAGAAAAGGAAAAGAAAGAAAACCTATCAGAGTTCCTACCACTGTATTTTTCCTGTTTTTAACTGTTTAAAGCACTATGGCTTTCCAGCAAGGTTACCAAGTGAAAGCAGGAATTTGGCACTCAGTTTTGTTGCTAGCACCGAGGGCTATGCCATGCTGTAGGGCAGTTATGGCTCTGTTGGTTAGTCTGAGCCAGAGAGCTCAAGAAACGAGGAGAATCACAGGCCACATGCTGAGAGGATGCCAAATGCCTTCACTCAGATTCTTCATGTCCACAGCTGGAGATAATCACAGATAGGATGTCTGCACCTGAATCTTTTCAATGAAATGTTGTAACATTAAAGCATGAGAACATTGCACTTCAGACCTAACTCTTCTTTAATGACAAAAATCCCCAGTGAATCTACTCAGACTTAAGCTGAAACATCCAATGAACAGTGTTTTGAAGTGTTATAGAAACCTATGGAAAATATATTTGCATGCATCTTCTGTCTCCTTTTTAATCCATTTTCCTTTCCAAACTCAGAGTGAAAACAATACTTCCCTTGTATTGTGAAAGCAAAACAGCCCTATGTTGCAAGACAAAGAATGCTAGGACAGTATTTGAGGTAATTATTTTAGAGACGCTATTTGCTTCTGCTTTTGGGTGGATTGCAGAAAAAGTGTTTCAAGGCAGAGATCAGTGCCTACATTTAGGCTGGTGGTGAAGATTGTAGAGAGGGACAAGGCAGAGAGGGATGTCTTGAGATAAGCTGTGCAGAGAACAAAGTGGCTCACCTCTTTTTAGTTTCTGTAAAAGAAACATCGAAAGAAGTTTCTTAATTACATGTGTAGGGATATGCATATCCAAAAGTAAGTACATAAATAAAAGTCTAGAAACATTCTTAACTACTGGAAATTAAGAGGATGGAAAGTTACCCAGGCTGTTTAAAATCCTTAAACTCATTTATGGCCCCTTTTAAAACAGGCTGATTGAATATGTGAGTGTTCCTCATAATAAATAGATGTATTTTGTTGTGCTGTCTGATTTTCTCATGGGAAAGATAGCAGAATCTTAAAAGCAATCACAATCTGGTTATCAGTTGCAAACTATTGATTTATTTTTTAAATGAAAATGTAACTGGGAAGGTACAATATTTGCTTTTAAAAGATGACAATTTTACTGTCTTGTGTGGGCTGAGAATAAAAGAGGCAGCTGATGGAAAGTCTGCAGATTTGATTGAAGAAACAAGCAGAAAATTATTCCTACATGAGCTGAAGCATAGACAAATAGCCCAGTTTGCTGTGTATTATGATGGTTGATCTGGGACCAGAGAGGGAGCAGGGATTAATAATGTTTTACTGCTGTTTAGGGAAATTTTAAATGGAGCCATTGTGATCCTTTACTGGTTAAAGCTTCATCAGGGAATGAGAAATTACTCTTTTAGATAGTGAGTAAAGAAGCAAGAGCTTAAAGATAGGTTTTGCATATCAACTGGGAATTGTTACCTCTAGGGCTAACATGTGTTTATGGTGCAGGCACAGAAGACTATTTCATTAAGCACTTTTTCAAGTCACATAGACTGGAGAAAAATGTTCAGGAAAGAACGTGTATGCCATTGAGAGAAATTTGCAAACCCGCAGCACAGTTCAATGGAAGTTTAAGAAAAAAAACAAATCAAACCAATCTCAAACCTTCCCCCCAGTCCAAATTGCCAGATACATACCTAACTGCTGCTAGAAGAGCTGGAAACTTACCTCAGAAATGTCAAAGCACAGACATTTCACAGATGCTTTTTCATGTCTACAACAATGGGAAAGGAAGGAAAAGCAGAAACTGTAGATTTTGGGACAAAAAGAGTCCAATGTTGAGCTGCCTTGAAGTGTTCAGAAGCACAGCCTGCTCACTGTTTCTTTCCTGAGGTGTACTGGGTCACTCTGGGAGGGGAAGTGTTTGCCTGCCATCAACCCATCTTTTTGGTCCAACAAAGAGAGTGGATATAGGACAGTGTTCTTCTCTTGACCTTTCCCCTCATGACAAATGATAGCTTTGTGGATTTTTGGGGAGGGGAGGTGCTTGGTGGACCTTACGTCTGCTTCAGGAGTTTTGAGGAGAGGAGAAGGAAGGATATGGAGATCATTGTATTTTAGAGTGGGCATCCACCAATCTGGACCTGCTGGCTGGTTCTTGGGTCCCCCGATGCTGCTTGTCCAGGCTTGTGGGCCACAATTTTCATACAGACTTTGTGGCTGAGTCTGAATTGTTTTAAACTCATCTTCCCCCCAGGCTCCTCAGATGATGGATTTAGTCATTACTCTTTTGCACCAACTTGCTACTAGAATTGAAGTGGTATTGCAGCATTCTGATAGAAAAGACTACCTCCAACTTCTCTAAGAGAACTGCAACAAGCAGACTTGCTGACAGCCTGTTTCATCTCCAAATTTAATGAGTTCTACAAAGCAGTATAGAGTTCTATATGAGTTCTATATGAGTTCTATAAGGCAGTGTAGAAATCAGTCTTTTATTATCCCATAATCAGACTTCTGGATACACAGCACTAAACACTGACTGAAAAGCCTCACTAGGACACTGAAGAAATTGGTATTTATAAACAAATGAAAGGGTAAAAGATTAAGATAAAAACTTAGCTCTAACAATCGCAGGGTGCTTATTTTAATTAAAGTAATGAACAAAACCAGAGACATGTCATTTAAAATGAGCTTCCTAGAAGCAAACAAGTACGCATGAGACATAATAGCTAATGAAGAGGATAACCTGCTGACGAATAATAAAAATTTTGACACTTTTAACTCATCCTTTAAATATTCCTGCAGGAGGGATTATCAAAGCAAAAAACCCAACCATCCAAACCAAAAATTGGGTGTCTGGAAGCACTTTTTTTCATTCTTTAAAGTATAAGAAACTGCAACCCAGGGAAAGAATAAAAGAGAGTTTTATTTCTGTTTTGATACTCTCAAACTTCATATTGCAAATACATAAATTTTTGTAAAAATACATATACAAAAAATAAGAAGATAAGTATTAAAACATCTGGAATGGGTTTTCATTTTCCACAGGTTCTCCTTTTGAAGAGGTTTTATACCAGAAAATATTTTTCATGTCCATATATTTATACATTCACATTTTTCACTTTCCTTGAAGGACCTAAAGACACTTTGGGAACCATTTGGGAGACCCAGGTAGCTTTTCCTTGTATTTTAGAGAGAATTAGCTTCTCAATTTTTTCACCTTGTGTCATTTTACAACGGGAAGCAACCTGCCTCACAACAGAGAGTTGGAGACAGGTGCATGCTATAAAACTGAATCAGAATTTGCATCTCAAATTAAAGAAAAAGTTATTTGAGATTATTGACAGTACCAGACATAGAGGTAGTCCTACAGATTTGGTGATGCTAGTCATATGATTAAAATTCTCATGTTTACTGTTTTGTAGTGATAAGGCCAGTTAGCATTTCTTGAAGCTCCTAGGGATTGCTTTTTGATGTAAAATTCTGTGTTTGATTATGTTAGGTAAAAAAAGGGAATGGGAGAACAAGTCTGATTTTGATACTGCATCATGTCTCAAGGATATAGTATATTTTCTTTTTAAATATTGAAATTTGCAGTGAGACCTAATCTACAGAAGCAGTGTCAATGAGAGTGTGTATGTGCAGACAGCTAGCAAATCCTTAATGTTTTTTTCATCCAATATTCAGCATAAATCCAAGCTTATATGATCTATCACTTCGGGTCAAAATGTTATTAAAAAAAAAATCAACATTATGCATTACAGCTTTATGCTCTTTTTAAATTACAGAACAGCTGCCAGATGATGAGAATTTTGGTAGAGTATCATAAAAATGCTTCAGTGAGAGCTCTCCTAGAGAAAGTCTACAGAAACCTGACATTTAAATTCAGGAGAAATATATGAAGGGGGATGGTCTAAAAAAGTAGGAAATGCTCTAAATGTTCTGCTGTAAGACTGCTGTTCCTTTTCCTAAAGGATGAGGCCCAAAGACAAGCCAAAGGGGGGAAAAAAAAGGAAAAAGGAAAAGGGAAAAAAAAAGAAAAAAGGGAAAGGGAAAGGGAAAGGGAAAGGGAAAGGGAAAGGGAAAGGGAAAGGGAGGGGCAAAGGGAAGCGGAAAGAGGAG